TTTAGAGGTGTTAATCTCTCTGGCCTTGATCTTTCGAAATTGGACTTGACTAAGATAGATTTCAGTTATGCATGTCTGAGAAATGTGTGTTTCTCAAATTGTGATCTTCACGGCGCAAACTTAATTATGTAGATGCTAAGGGAGCCAACTTTAGCAATGCTAGTTTGGAAAGTTCAGAATTTGTAGGGGCAAATCTCCGTATATTTGTTGGTGCCAATCTTGGCTCTGCAAAGAAAAATTGTAGCTTTTGGGGGGCAAGCTTGGTCGCTATAGAGCTTCATGATGTTGATCTTAGAAATGCAAGTTTAGAGGGGGCTTGCTTGGTCTCTGCACAATTGCTTGATGTTGATCTAGCAAATGCAAATTTAGAGGGGGCTAGTCGAGAACGTGCAGACTTAAAGAATATCAAGACAACAAACTAAATTTAAGGATGCAAATCTTCAAGAAACTTATGTAGAGAATGAATTTTCAACATTTGGAGGGTGCAAAGCTTGGTCTTGTTGCTCCTTCCGGTAATGGGGTTATATGCAGGCCTTCTCATTTGTGCTATTATTAGAGCTACAAGCCTAAATTTTGGATTTTTTAAAAATAATTTAAATGAAGGATAGGATATTTACAAAGTATTTCTCTAGCAGGACTTGGCAAAAACTTCCATTTACAATCATCTCCACGTTGAGTAAGAAACGGTTTAAATGTCATCAGAACTGCGATTGCCTCAACCACATTTAGGATGAAGAAAACCACATGCACACACCTACATTAATCCAATATATACCAAGTGATAAATTTAGCTAAAACAATATAGTTACATAAATTTTATCGAATTCATCACAAATATATATGCCTAAGCTAAATTCAATGCACGTATTTAGATTCAACAATGCATGCGACAAATTAATTAATCATGCACTCTCTAAATCGCTTGGACCAAATTCGTATTGCGAGTATGTGGACAATTAAAAAAAATAAAACCACAACTTTTTAGCTAACAAAAATCCATGATGAAAAGTTGGTTGACATTGATTGATACCTGGGAGGATGATATCATTCTGGCGTTTCTCTGCCCAAGAAAACCTGTCGATAGATGAAATATGATTAGCAAAAGGAAATATGTTACTAGACATGATATAGCTGAAGTATAAGGTAAGGCAAAGCAACAAGCCAACTTTTAGTGTTTTGGTGAACTTACAGGGCACCGGCACTAGCTGGACCAACTGCCTTGAACAGAGACATTGCAGACTTGCAGTCATGGCAAGGCCATTGGCAGCACCTCTTTGTTGTTGTCATGTTGTTTAATCATGGTCAATCAAGACAAATTCTTCAGTTGAAGAATGACTTTTTTGTTTTGTTTTTAATAATGCAATATTTTAAACTACTCTAATGTACGGGAAGGAGGATCGAACTCATGTTTAGGAAGGGGCGCAATAATCTTATCACGTATTAAAACAAGTAAAGGGGAAAAACAAAACTAGGTAATTATAAAGGTGCAATTACCACAGCATTGTTTTGGATAGTGAACAGGCCAGTTACAGTCGCAATCTAATTACATATATGTGTTTGTGCAAATAATCTCACGGGAGAATATTCGCTTATAGATCCTTCAACCTTCGATCTTTCTTCTCTCTCTTCCTCGATTCCTGTAAAACTGATTGGAATAAATAGACCACACCAGGGGGGTGTTGGCCAAAGGCCCTCCGATGCCTAAGTTAGTTCGAGTGTTTGTAGAAAAATAATAGCTAAGCAAAGGGTACGGAGTAGTGTTTATGTAGGGTGTGAACCGGGCGGCCGGAGCCGTGTGTGGTGGCCGGAGCCGTGTGGAGAAAATATGGAGAGTGGAGAGGGAGAAAGAGCTTCGGGTATTTTTCTCGGGTATAAGGAGTAGGTTTAGATGATGTACCTTGAATGATGAATGAAGTCATCTATTTATAGGAGCCTCGGGGCTAGGGTTTCGTAGAGAATATGCTGAGTTTATTCTCTACCAAAATTCGTAGGGATCAAGTCGGACTGAGATAATATCTGATTTAATGATATTATCTCTTTTTATGGAGATAATATCTGAATTAAATGATATTATCTCTTTTTATGAAGATAATATCTGAGATAATGACATTATCTTCTCTTTATTAGGATAATATCTTAATTAATGATATTATCTTATTAAATAATGATAATATCATTTAATTAAGATATTTATCCCAATTAATTAATTGGCCAGATAAACTGGTTCAATTAATTAATTAAAAGAGATAATCTTCTTTTTCACGTGGCGTGCTGTGATTGGAGACGAAAATATCTGCTCCCACAAATGCCCCCCAGCTTCTGCGTGACACTTGTGTGGCATGTAGGAGATGAAATTATTTTTTTGGGGCTCTCCAACTGAGTCTGGGCTTTCTTCTGTGAGTTCGACTCCTTTTGTAGATCGGATTCTCAATTGGTGTAGGCTTCTGACTGTTGTTGGAGTTGGATTCCCAATAGGAAAGAGCTTGAGATTCCTTCTTGACTCGGGTTGTCCAACTTGTATAAATACAGGGCTTCTCTTCACTCTCTCTTACATCGCAAATTTAACTTCTCTACTTTCTAGCTTGAGAAAGATCTTGGAGAATTTTGTACTGCTTGTCGAAGAGAGGAGTTGCTGTGCATCCCAAAGTAAGTCGAGCACGTAAATTTTTCTTCGTCTTCTCTTTTTCAAGGCGAGGACCAGTTGGGTGGGACCAAGCTGGTTGTCGTTGTGACTGGCGGCCAAAGACGATTGGAGCAGCGGTGGCCGCTGGCGGCTGCTGAGCGACGATCAGGAGGAAGTTGGTGGACTGCCCCCTGCTAAGGATGTCGATAGATGGAAGCAGGATGGTCCGAGCCTTGATGATTTGCCTGCTGGACATGAGGAGTGTTTTGCTAAACTCCCCTAAAAGAGGAAGGCTGATGTCAGTCTTCGAGAGCTCAAGCCTGATGAGTTTGGAGATCGTGATATGCTCCGTAAAGTAGTCCGTGCGCGATCTAGCTCACTTGTTGAGAGGCAAAGAGATGCGGATGCTCTTTTTCGAAATTTGAGTTGTTTGTACCAGTCGAAGATTGGAAGTCGATCTGGGCAGTCTGCTCATCCATCCAACCATCATGTTTCAACTGTTGAGTCACGAGCAGTCAAGCATAGAGTGGATTCATCGTCGCCAATTCCTTTGGAAGTGAGGTTGACAGAGGCTAAGAAAGCAAGAGAGTCATTTGCCTGGGCGAAGGGCTCTTCTGCAACGTCAGCAGCTGATCCCAAGGTGGACAAATCCACCCTTGCAGAGGATGCAGGCGTGTCTGATCTGCTCAAGACGAACTTTCTGTCAAGTCCATCCACTTGTGTTGAGCTGGTTCAATTTCTTCTCCTTCAAAAAGAGGTGGGGGCAGACGTGGAGGATCAGGCAGGTGGAGCTGCTGAGAGTGTGGCTGATCAGACGGACGATGAAGTGGCTGCAGATCAGGGATGAAGACTTCTTTATTTCTTTTCAGCTTTTGTAGTCTGCTTTCTCATTTAGAATAATTGGTCTTACTTGACCGTCTTCTTTTTGTTGAACTTTGGCTGGTTGGTCACTTTACTAAGGAAATTTCAATTATTTTTTCAACTTCAATTTTGCATAGTGTCTTGTGAACTGCTTGAGTGTTTCTGGGTTGAGGCATGTTTTGCCTACGTCTGGAGACATGTCGATGAGGGTGGCTCGTTTGGCCTATGTCCGGAGACGTGTCGATGAGGGTGGCCCGTTTGGCCTATGTCCGGAGACGTGTCGATGAGAGTGACCCGTTTGGCCTACGTCCAGAGACATGTCGATGATAGTGGCCCGTTTACGTCTGGAGACGTGTCGATGATAGTGACCCGTTTGGCCTACGTCCGAAGACGTGTCGATGTGTGTGACCCGTTTGGTCTACGTCCGGAGACATGTCAATGATAATGGCCCGTTTGGCCTACGTCTGGGGACGTGTCGATGATAGTGGCCCGTTTGGCCTACGTCCAGAGACGTGTCGATGTGTGTGACCCGTTTGGCCTACGTCCGAAGACGTGTCGATGATAGTGGCCCATTTGGCCTACGTTCGGGGACGTGTCGATGTGTGTGACCCGTTTGGCCTACGTCCGAAGACGTGTCGATGATAGTGGCCCGTTTGGCCTATGTCCAGAGACGTGTCGATGTGTGTGACCCGTTTGGCCTACATCCGGAGACGTGTCGATGTGTGACCCGTTTGGCCTACGTCCGGAGACGTGTCATTGATAGTGGCCCGTTTGGCCTACGTCCGGGGACGTGTCGATGTGTGTGACCCCTTTGGCCTACGTCCGGAGACGTGTCGATGATAGTGGCCCGTTTGGCCTACGTACAGAGACATGTCGATGTGTGTGACCCATTTGGCCTACGTCCGGAGACGTGTCGATGTGTGACCCGTTCGGCCTACGTCCGGAGACGTGTCGATGATAGTGGTCCGTTTGGCCTATGTCCGGAGACGTGTCGATGATAGTAGCCCGTTTGGCCTACGTCCAGAGACGTGTCGATGTGTGTGACCCGTTTGGCCTACGTCCGAAGATGTGTCGATGATAGTGGCCTGTTTGGCCTACGTTCAGAGACGTGTCGATGAGAGTGGCCCGTTTGGCCTACGTCCGGAAACGTGTCGATTGCTTTTGTGAATACTTCATTGGAAAGAAAAGCTTGAACTTGTATTGATGTCTGTGTGACTACATTGCCTTATTGAACAAAAAAGATGAGTGCATGAGTAACATCAAAAGTAACTTGTCTTCAATGGAGGTGAGGAAGGCTGGGTCGCCTGCTTAGAGCCGAGCTGATAGGTGAAGAGCTTCATGGATAGTACCCTTGGAGGTGATGGGTATTTCATTGTCTTAGAACTTCCTTCCATTGAAAGATGATGAAAGGTTCGTCTTCCACAACTTGGTAGCTAGTGACGCTTAGGAGACGGAAGTCGCCTGCTTGATCTTTCTCTTTTGCCCCCTGGTGGTCAGTCTGGGCTTTTGGAGTCAGCTAGGATCGTGTTGATCCATATGACCTTTTTCGTGGAGGTTCATCGTTAGCTGCGTCACAATCCTTGATTTGCTGGATAGCCCTCCTTGCGATGAATTCTGTGCAATGGCCGTCTCTGACTAGATCTTCAAGGTGCCTTTTCCAAGCGAAGCAGTCGTTTGTGTAATGACCATGCCCTTCATGGAATGTGCAGTATCTATTGGTATCCTTCTTGGTTGGGTTTCCCTTTAAAAGCGATGGTTTCTTCAACCAAGGCATGTCTTTTACTTGGGCCAGGATCTGGTGTATCGGGATAGTGAACTTGGTGTAGCTCTCTGCTGCTGAAACACCTTCCTGAGACTGTGATCTGCGCTTGCCGTTCTCTTGGCTTGCCTGCTCAGCTACTTGATCAGCCTTCTTCGTGGCGATCCGGTTGTCGTCCCATAATGCGTAGCGCTCTGCTATAGCGAAGACTTCTACCAGTGTTTGGCGAGGATAAATGGTCAGCTCGCGATACAGCTCACATTCAGTTGGCAACCCCCTCTTGAAGGCAGAGAACGCAATTTGGTCATCACATCCTACAATGTTTGCCCTCTCCGCTTTGAACCTCTTGATGTAGTCTCGCAGGGATTCATTGGACTTCTTGTGCAGGTTGAACAGATGGTCAGGATTCTTCTTGATTGACCGATAAGAAGTGTATTCTTTAGTGAAGACATAAGCAAGCTCCTTGAAGCTGCTGATCGACCCAAATAGCAGGGTGTGGAACCAGTCCTGAGCTGCTCTTTGCAAAGTCATTGCAAACACCTTGCACATTAGCACGTCTTCGGCTTTGTAGAGGATCATAAGGCTCTTAAAATGCTTCAGATGGCTTTCAGGATCGGAATCGCCTTTGAAGCATGTAAAAAAGGGCGTTGAGAATCGTTTCGGGGGAGCAGCCTGCTCAATTTCGACGGTGAAAGGTGATGAGTTTGCTCGGTCTACCTCAACACGTAGTGCATCTTCGAAATTTCCACCAATCTTTAAGTCTTGAAGTCGGTTATTCACAAGCTTCTCAACGTCTTCCGCACACATGGCTAGTCGGTCACGTTGATGACCTTTACGATTTGGGCAAGACCGAGTAACTTCCTCGTTGGTTTGCAAGGGTTGATCTTCTAGGTTGCGCTGCCTAGGCGGCGTGTTGGTGGACCGTGCTTGCGAGGGATTTTCTGTAACTTGGCGATGAGAATTGGTTCTTCGAGAGCGGTTAGTGGAGTGCCTTTCTTCACGGTCCTCATTGTGCGGGTTACCAAGTTGACCTCCTTGGGGCCTAGCCTTTCGTGAATATTTCTCTGCGAGCGAGTAGCGGAGCGCCTTTCTTCATGATCCTCATTGCGGCGATTGTCAGTTTGACCTCCCTGGGAACCTAGCCTTTCATGAACATTTCCCTACGGGCCCAGGCAAGCGCAAACGTCAAGTCGTGGGCCGAGTCTTTCTCGTACGTTGCTTTGTGTGTGGCTTGCAGATGCTTGTGACATGCCGGCAAGTTGATCACGTTGTTGTCCCTCTCCTTGTCTGCCCATTCCTGCTCGACCTGCTTGGTACCCATCGAGCTGCCGATAGGTGCGTTCATCCATCATTCTCTCTTCGCCCGGTTGTCCAAGGTCAAGGTTTTGAACCAAGTTTATTTGGTGGAGGAGCTGCCTCATCAGATTGGTTTGGTCGTCCATCCTTTGAGCTAGCTGGTCAACTATCATATTAAGATCTGCTTGACTTCGTGGATTGGGAGAAGAGAAGTGTGTGGAGCCCAATTGCACATGGGCTAGGGTTTCATTGGATCTGTATGCAGGAGCATGCGTCGAGCGTGGAGGCAATGGAGGGAATGCTTGAAGTTGCTCCAAGACCGGGCCTAAGTCAGTGGTGGTAACGAGCCCACCTTGATGGGAGGTTCCATCATGCTCGGTGGCGGTGCCACGAAGGTTGCTAGATCCGACTGCGGGTCTGGTAGGTGGCACGGTGGTGAGAGGTGGTGGTGCCACCATGTCGATCGCGGGATCGTGGGTGGAGTGGCATTGGGTCGTCACGGATTTAGTCATCGCGGCAGTTTTGCTCCTCGTGCGCTTGCTTCCAACCATGGTTGTTTGGAAGGCTTCGGTGGATTAGACAATAGGAGGAACGAATTCCTTGAGCACGCATTGAGTATAACTCGTGCTCTCAATGAAAGCACCAAATGTTTGTGCAAATAATCTCACGGGAGAATATTCGCTTATAGATCCTTCAACCTTCGATCTTTCTTCTCTCTCTTCCTCGATTTATGTAAAACAGATTGGAATAAATAGACCACACCAGGGGGGTGTTGGCCAAAGGCTCTCCGATGCCTAAGTTAGTTCGAGTGTTTGTAGAAAAACAATAGCTAAGCAAAGGGTACGGAGTAGTGTTTATGTAGGGTGTGAACCGGGCGGCCGGAGCCGTGTGTGGTGGCCGGAGCCGTGTGGAGAAAATATGGAGAGTGGAGAGGGAGAAAGAGCTTCGGGTATTTTTCTCGGGTATAAGGAGTAGGTTTAGATGATGTACCTTGAATGATGAATGAAGTCATCTATTTATAGGAGCCTCGGGGCTAGGGTTTCGTAGAGAATATGCTGAGTTTATTCTCTATCCCAAATTCGTAGGGATCGAGTCGGACTTAGATAATATCTGATTTAATGATATTATCTCTTTTATGGAGATAATATCTGAATTAAATGATATTATCTCTTTTTATGAAGATAATATCTGAGATAATGACATTATCTTCTCTTTATTAGGATAATATCTTAATTAATGATATTATCTTATTAAATAAAGATAATATCATTTAATTAAGATATTTATCCCAATTAATTAATTGGCCAGATAAACTGGTTCAATTAATTAATTAAAAGAGATAATATTCTTTTTCACGTGGCGTGCTGTGATTGGAGACGAAAATATCTGCTCCCACAATATGCACTTACAGATAAGACATTCTTATGCATGGATGCAATATTTATCAATAGGGAGAGGATGAACCCCGACAACTTTGCTATAAATGGAAAACTTGAGGGCAGAGGTTTTGATAAAACCTACATATACGAAAAAAATAATGTCAAAAAATATACAAGAGGGCTCGAGCGCTAAGTGATGTACATGACAAAGAAAAATGAAGAGAAAGCACAGGAGCTGAAAAGTTTACCCCTCCAATGCGAGCAATCATTATAGATATACTGAAAAGAAAAAAAAATCGTATAGCCGCACGGCTATACTATTTAATCGCTTTTAAACATAGTATAGCCGCGCGGCTCTACTCGGGTGGGTCGTTATATATTCATATATAGTATAGCCGGCCGGCTATACGAGATTCTTTTTTAAATTTTTAAAAAAAGCGTATAGCCGCGCGGCTATAATATTTTTCCTAATTTTTTTAAAATAGTATAGCCGCACGGCTCTAATCGTTTGACACGAGGCACCTAGGACCGGGCTCGTCCTTTACCAGATTTGCCACAAATTGTGATGTGGTATTATTATTCATTCCTGTGTATGTATGCAATGTGTTGGCGGTATGCTTCATAGGTTTGCTTATTTGGGTTGTGTTTTACATTGGAATTCTTGTTTTTCAGGTCATTTGTGTGAAATGTGAAAGTAAATCCAAACATGCATACTGCCTATTTTCAGGTGGTGTGAATTCTGGATTTGGAAGGATACATAGACAAGTAACTAACTCCCTTATGAATTTTAAAGGACCACTTTACATTTAGTATCATGATTCCAAGGGTTGTAGACTACTCAAGAATTTCAAATCTCAAGTTTTATGTTGAAATTGAATAAAGGACTAAAAATGCTGCTTATTTCTTTACAGTTCAATCCTTCCCTTCCTTCCCCCAACTAAATCCCTAAAGCCCTAAAGATTGCCCATATTACCATTTATTAGCTCTCCGAAGTCCAAAGGCAGCCCCAAATCCATAACTTAGTTGCTTTCAGATTTCATGCAACCTATTTTCTTGAACCAGCCCTTTTCCCCCCTTTAAAATCTAATCCTTTGAATCCTACTGAAACTCTACAATGCCAAAAGTTAAAAATACAAGTTGACAAACCTTAAAGCCCACCATATATGCAATTGTAGGCTGATTATTTAAGTTGTCCTACATCAAAATATTCTTTTTACTTGTTATTCTGTTGTTCAACAACAGCGATAAGATTGTTAATAAATCAAGATTGGCTGCTTGTTTTAATTTAGTGTGATTCAAGTAACCCCTTAAAGGGGTTTGTCATTTGTTAATGAACTAATTCTTATACAGTTACTACTGAGCATCATTCAATTTCTCTCCCTCAATGTTTGTAGGATTTCATGGAAGATTATGAGATAACTGTGCCTTTTCAATCCCTTCAAGCTCTAGGATGCCATGTTGATGGAGTTTGCCCCAAGAAAAAAGTTGGTGATATCTGCACAACTGCTGTCCATGATTTTGAAGGTGATCAAACCTACAGTGAGAAGCAAGGCCACAATTTCACTTTAACAACTGATTTTGATACTATTGATGTCTCAAGTTACAATGCTCTTGTAATCCCTGGAGGTCGAGCTCCAAAATATAATGAGAAAGTTATTGAAATAGTGAAGCAAATCATGGAAGCTGGGAAACCAGTTGCATCCATCTGCCATGCCATGGGCAGCAGATTTTAGCCGCTGCTGGTGTTCTGCAGGTAAGGTTATTGACATAATCATTTAAGAGCAGTTCCCCACTTGGTACTTTTCTTTTTCCGCCAGACTACACATTTGTTTCCTGAAACTTGATGCAAAGTCCTTATCCTTTAAGTTTATCAATCAAGTCGAATTATAAATTTTACTAATTCAATTATGTGCTTTTGACAACCACAATAATGATTTTGTTACGAATTTTACTGATTTTCCGTTTGTTACCCACCAAGACTAGGCTAAGATAGGGAATCACCTAGCAAGGTTAGGGTATAAGCTAGGCAGTTTCTGTGTCTTATAATGTGTTAGGTGGAGTGTGGTGTATCGTCAGACTTGTAAGTGGGACATTACTTATCTTCTATGTACATAAAGTGGTATCAGAGTGAAGATTCTATTGGAAAGTCCAAAAGCAACCACCTTGAAGTTCTGCACTGTTTGTTTCTGATTCTTCTGATTGATGGTGAATTTACTTATTTGCACATTATGAAGTTTTTAGCATGCCCTAGTTGTTATCCACTGCCTACATTATAGGGAAAGAAATGCACTGCATGCATACCCAGCAGTGAAGCTTAATGTGGTTTTGTTGGGAGCAACATGGCTGGAACCTGATCCAATAGATCGTTGCTTCACTGATGGAAATTTGGTTACTGGAGCAGCGTGGCCAGGCCACCCGGAGTTCATTTCTCAACTGATGGCATTGCTTGACGTTCAAGTATCGTTCTAGTTGCTGTTTACTTGGTCAGCCGCTTGCATGTGATATACTTAATTCATGAAAGATTAAGACAAGGGTGATATGCTGCCTCTTGTATCAATGAGTGACCAAGTAATAATCTGTTTTTGATCTGTATATGCCATGTTCCATGCAAGTAAGTTCTGTCTTGCCTGCGAATCCCAATCCTGATGTCAGATTGTATGCTATTCCTAACATAGGGAATGAATATCGTGACTATTGGGATAACATATTCATATGCCTATTACCTGTGCTTTATATTGAAATTTGATTTATCACTCACCGAAGTGTCCTTTTCGTTTGTTGCTGCATCTAGAGTGTATTTTTCGCATGATATTAGATTTTCATTATTGTGAATTAACAATTTATTTAATAAATAAATAAAAAATAGCAGTGAAGGGAAAAATAGAAGCAAGAGGGCCTATTCATCACAAGAACACATCCATTTTCTCTGCTTGGTTTTGTGTTTCAAGTGAATTTGTTTATGAAGTCTGAGTACAAACAGAGGAGGTCAAGGAGAGGATATTGGAGATGTATGTCCTCACCTTCACTCCCCTCAGTAGTAGATAAAAAGAATATTTCTTTAAAAGATATCCCTAGTTGAAACCATCTATTTTCTATTTGTATATGTATAATCTTGTACCACATGAGAAAAAATAGTAATTGTATTTGCATATCTATGACTACATTCATATGTGTCGTTAATTTTCGAATAGGACTATCTGTTAACCGATCTAATAAGAATTTCTATTGTTATGTGACCATTTCCAAATAATGCAAAGGATTCCAAAATTATAAAACACTGCTCAAATGCCCAAGAATCATATACATACTGAATTTGGTTTTATCTCAGCCGCAAGGCCAAGATGATATCCTTACAGACAGAAACAACAAATTTTTAAAAAAGACAATCAACAGCACCTCTAGCAGGCAAGGTACTTTGCAATAACGAACTCCTTTCATGTCTGCACCTATTTCTATATTCTAACTCGGAAAATTTGTCAATTTGTCACTGTTCCATTGAGCATCATATAGTTCTAGTTTCATGAACACTCCTACAAGCAGTCCACTACACAAACTGGTTCACATTATCATTTGATAAAGAGACATGGCAACAGGAGAGACGTCGTATAACAAAATCAGTTCAAATCACATAACCCAAATTTGGTCCACAACTAGCAACTCAAGTTCAAGCCCAAAATCTAAAGACCCCAAAATTTTGAACTAAAAGTGCAAACAAGAAGAGAAAATTGTAACCCCAAGACTAATTTTCATTTTCTCCCTACCATTTCTTAACAAGATCCAGTAGTAATTTTACAGAAAGAAATCACCTGAAGAACAAAGAACATACAGGGTCGAGAGCATTGGGGTCAAAGCCATAATCAGCTGCCAAAGAGTAAAAGTACAGACTTTGACACTTGTTCAAATCTGAACTTGAGGGTCGAGGTCTTTTAAGAGTCATTATATATTGTTATTTTTGCCCCTGTCTATATATTGAGAGGAAAACAAATCCGAACTTGTCTTAACCACTTGAGCTACAAGCCTTTTGAATATATATTGTTTCTCACATTACTTATTTCCCCAAATCACAATTTGGCACATTTGTAAAAATAATTTTATCAACAACACAAAGAAAAATATTTGCACACCTATCAAATTGAATTTGGCAGGAAAATAGGAGGCAAATTCCCACCATAAAAGCTTGAAATACGTAGCCAAATAATTGGTAAGCAGAACAACGGCCATGTTGCATTACTTTCCAAAATGCCTATAGACCATTTACTATTCAAAACCAGATATTAAGAAACTGAAAAGGAAAATGCAGGGGCTGTATATCTCAGTAGCATACTAGCAAATCATGTTAATGAATCACAAAACTGCAACTCAATCAGCTTAATCAGCTAGTTTCCCTCCGGCATTCATGGGTAAAGAGAAATCTCATATACCTGTAATGCATCATGTATGCTGCTGCCACTGGTTTGACTCAAAAGGAAGCGGAGCGGGTGAGCCTTGGCTTGGCTATCTTCTTGTCCTCTTCAAGAGGGATTAGTGAAAGATTGGCTGGGTTCTCGATCATCAGTTTAGCTACCAGATATCCTGAGATGCTCCAGGTCTGGTACTTCCTCGCTTGCTTCCAGACATATCTCCCTGCCTTGCCGTCATGGTATTCTGGCCACCCGTCTTTTGAGAGCCGCTGCTCCACCTGTTCAATTGCTCTCTTAGCAGTCTGAGGCCTCCTCGTCTTGATACATGCTGCAGTAAGCAACCACAGCAGTGGTACAAGACAGATGCAACAACATTAACCAATTGTTTTAGAACAAGCATCAAAATATCATGAATAGCACAACCATTTGGCACGCTTTCCCAAATTACATTCAGAAATGTATCCCACAACATTTATATACTCGAAGGATTCGATTGGAAAAGTGGTTACAATCAGCAAATAAAGATGTTTAAAATAAAAGATACTATGTCAGGTAAGTAGTTCTTGTAGCCTAGTTTACTAAATAAAAATAATAACTAGCCTACTCACATAAAGTGGGTACTAATGTTCATGAAATGTAATTGAAAGGTCTCAGTCAAATAGAACTAGCACTAGGCTTCAAGTAGAAAAATAGAACTGCAAATTGTAATATCCAGCAAATAGACACAGGGGACATTATCCGAAAGATTTACAAATCAACGGAAACTAACAAAACCAGCCTTGAGCCACCGATATTTAAGCAAAAACCTTTATACTTTAATGGTGAAAATGACTACGAGAGGTGCTAAAATGAATAAACATAGCATGTAACAGAGACAAATCAAAACAAGACATGAACAAAAAGAACAGAAAAGATAAAGAACTAATGCAAATAGCACATTGTGATAAAACCATCTCCATCAGACTTACTTGGCCAAGAGCCACCATTATGATAACTCCATGAAACTGCTCTGGGTTATCAGTTGTTGTTCGGAAATCTTCTTTACAGGTTAAATCCTTGAACACACTCACTCATATTGTTAATATTACGGAATAAATGGCCTAGGCGGGCGCTAGGCGGGCTAGGCAGTCTAGGCGGTGGCTAGGCGGGCTAGACTGGGGCTAGGCGGGCTAGGCAGGCTAGGAGGACCAGGCAGCTTAGGCGGTTGCTAGGCGGTCACCAGGCGGGCGCTAGGCGGTTGCTAGGCGGGCTAGGCGGTTGCTAGGCGGGCTAGGCGGGCTAGGCGGGCTAGACGGTTGCTAGGCGGTCCGTGGGCGGCCGCTAGGATCATCAATGGTGAAAAAATTGAAACGCGGTGTATTGGTAGGGAAAATAGGAGGGCTTTGTAGCACACCACCGCCAATTTGGAGACTTGACGAGTGTTACCATCAGCAAGACAACAACAACAAACCCTGTTCTGAATTTCTCCCACAACTCTTCAGAATTTCATCCAGTTTTGGGATCAGACAATAATTCTTCGGAATTTTACGACGATGATGACAATGACGAAGAAGATGGTGGTGGCTGGGAGCGTGGTACAGTTTAGAATATTCGATTTAAATAGTATAGCCGAACGGCTGTATTCTATTTATAGATTATAGCCGGTCGGCTATACTCTTTAATACATTCCATTTATAGAGTCCAGCCGCTCGGCTATACCTTTAGATATTCTACTTATACAGTATTTCCGCGCGGCTATACTTTTAACATATTCTATTCCTTTGTCCATCTGAGAGTTTAGTCCAACCAAATTCTCTCTCCCCCTCTCTCTCTCTCAAATACCAAGAAAATGGCGAAAGGCGAACGCAGGGTGTTGTTGGTATTGGGGGACTACGTGGAAGACTACGAGGCGATGGTTCCATTTTAAGCACTGCAGGAATATGGAGTGTCCGTTGATGCCGTCTGTCCTGGCAAGAAAGCTGTTGATATCTGTCGCACAGCCATTCATCAACTTTCTCCTGCTCACCAGGTCACCCACCTCTGCTTCTTTTGCCTTTTCCTTTTTCTATTTGTAATGAAAATCGTTTTCTTTAGCCTCATTACATCACTTGAGCACTGTCAATTGGTCTTTTCCATGCTCTGTAATTAAGCACACTCAATTAGATTGAAGATTGAATGCTTACTTCACTTGAATTTGTAAACCCAAAACAAGAAATTTGTCTCAAAGATTGAAGTGCTTACAATTCTCACATATGGGATTATGTTGCCTCCTCTAAAATTTGGAATCTGTTGGGACTGGAAATTAGTTTGTCAAGTTTACGAACGAACATCACGCTTTCAAGTTTAGTTTTTTGCATCAGCCAATCTTTGGTAGCCTTAATTATAGACAAAATGAATAAGTTTATTGTTGATTAGAGCCACTCTATTAGATTGAGAAATAGCAATCCGTAGGTTATAGTTCTAGGTTGTGTGGACAGCGAGACTAAAGTAAGCTCAAACAAGAACACATGTTAGGAGTTTTGTTTAACTTACAAATCTTCAAATGCTACATGTCTTTCTGGTCCCCCTTTGTTTTAATATGTTTTTCGGTTTTCTGTATTTTTTTTATTTGGTTGCAGACTTATTCTGAATCACGTGGTCACAATTTTGCACTCAATGCAACATTTGATGACATTGAATTTAACAAATATGATGGATTAATAATACCAGGAGGACGGGCACCTGAATATCTTGCTGTGGATGCGTCGGTTTTAGAATTGGTGAGAAAGTATTCTGACTCCTGAAAGCCAATTGCTTCGGTTTGCCATGGGCAACTTGTCCTAGCAGCTGCAGGCTCGGTTAAAGGTAGGAAGCGTACGGCCTTCCCAGCTGACAGACCTGTACTTGTTGCTGGAGGTGCTTATTGGGTGGAACCCGAGACCTTGTTGGCGTGTGTTGTTGATGGTAATATAATTACTGGGGCTACATGTGAAGGCCATCCTGAGTTAATTAGGCTTTTTGTGAAGGCAGTATCGAGATTTGCCCTTTTACAGATACTTCTGAAAGACAGTGAAAATAACATGAATAGGCTTAACCAGATTTGCCACAATTCTGGTGTGATAAGGTTCCGTCATTCATTCCTATGTTAGGTCATTTGTGTGAAAGTAAATCCAAACATGCGTACTGGTCATTTTTCAAGTTTTTTGAATTATGGATTCTAAACATGATACATAGACAAGTACATCCTTTATGAATTTTAAAAGACTTCTTTACTTTAATTTTCCGGAAAGTTGACTACTGAAGAATTTCAATTTCCCCCTTCCCCCAAAACTGAATACCTCCAATACCCAAGCCAATTAGGTCTCCAAATTCGAAATGCCACTACTGCCCTAGACCCATAAATTAGTTGCTGTCAGATTTCATGAGAAGCTATTTTCTTGAAACCAGTTGTTTGTTTTCCCTTTAAAACCAAATCCCTTTGAAGCATACCTAAACTTCTCTACCTACAATGCCAAAAGTCATACAACTTGACAAAGCTTGAAGCCCACCACGTTTTGTAAGCTGGTTATTTAACAGTGATAAGATGGTCCATAAATCAAGATTGGCTACTTGACAAACCTTAAAGCTCACCAAATTCAAAATATTATTTTACTTGTCAATATCAATAGTGATAAGATGGTCCATAAATCAACTTTGGCTACGTTTTAAATAAAGAAGAACCTCTTTCGTTTAAAGCCACAAGTCAAAAATAGGTATAGCCGCCCGGCTATACCTTTTTTAAATAAAAAAATTCTAATATAGCACGGCTATACTATTTAATGAAAAAATTAAAAAAATTAATAATAAACCTAGTTGCATTTTTTGTACCTTATGGATATTAATTTGCAACATATCCAAAGTAGATATTAATCTTCCTCTATTTGATGTTTTAATATAATTTGTATACCATATGTTATTCTTATTCAATAATATGTGAGAATTATTTGTATTGTACGTGAATTTGTGTTGTTAATGAAAATTTTGTAAAAAGTACGTGAAATTTTTTATTTAAATAATTAACTAATTGGTTTTAATTTGAATTTGTGTGTTACATAAAATTTTGTAAAAAATATGTGAGAGTCCGTTTTCTTAAATGTTGAATAAAGAAAAATAAATGTTATTATTCTTAAGTCATTATCTTGGTAAGAAGGAAAATTATATGTTTATAATACCATTTCAATAGTTATAGAAATATTATTTCATTAAATCTATATATATATGTATATATACATATGTTCTTTCGAATAAAAAAAGGTTTGTTTAAATTATATATTTGTTAATTATTCCTTGGATGCTATTAGATGGTTATTGGGTCCTTTATATACATATATATTAATAACATGGATTAAGAGTTTAAACGTGGCTTAAACGTGGCACTCTTACATTGTTTTCTTGGAGAGAAAGATTGTTCTCTCTTATCTTAATTTGGAGATATATTTAAATTAGTATGCTGGAGGTGGTTTTTTTTTCCATTAAATTAGTTGATGCATTACCATGCATTTGGACAGCTCATGCTTACAATTTGGTGACTTGGCTTTATCTTAGCTTGAGGAGGAGTTTATAAGTTCAATAGGTGGCATGGCCTTTGAAAATATATCTCCTGGCGTTGACACATTTAAGCTTCTATAAAAGAGTGGCAACCAAGTTATCTTTTTGTATAAGATAAGATAGTGGCCTTTGTTATTATCCTCTCCATTATTACCACCATCTCACCGCCTATAAATAGGAGTGTTAATAAGGAAGAGATATCATGCAACGTGAGACAGAGAGAGAGTGAGGAAGAGTATTATTATTATTATTAATGTGATATTTTGGCTATATGATTGTCTGTCACTTAGGGCTCGTTTGGGAGTGCTTCTTACCGAAGCGCTTATGCCAGTAGCACTTATGCTAGCAGCGCTTATGACATAAGCACTTCTACAAAGAAGCAGTTTGTTGTTTGGATGTCACATTTAAAAGTGTTTTTATACTACATAAAAGCGCTTTTGATATTTTGTTGAGTGTTTGGCTGACATAGTAAAAGCGCTTTCAAAAGTACTTTAAAAAATTTAAAGAATCCCAAAATATTATAATGAACATAGTAAATAAAAATTCATAGGATCCCAAAATATAAAAAAGTACGAACTTCACCAAGTATAATTTTTAATCATTTTTTGAAAATAAAAAAGGAATTAACCAGACATAAGAAGATTTGCAATTCTCTCACGTTCGTCATCCATCTCACGCCCATGGATTAGATTTTGTTCTTCAACCATCTCTTCCCCTATAGTAACTCTAGCCCCGCTAGAGGCAAAATCTGGTGTTGATCTATAAGGAGATGGAAAGGTAGATACAGCCTCACGAAACTCCATGAAGAATATCACAATTTTGCCAGCATAGTTTTACCATTGAGTGCATCAATGCATAGTAATCCCATTTTCCCAGCCATTAGTACTTTCACAGCTCTGAATCTGGTTTACTTCTAAGTTCCTTTGACCTTAAAATTTGTTGGTTGACCTGCATATTATATGCTATTGAATAATTTTTGCCTCTTGACTTGTAGTTTGTATATAAAATTTTGTTTGAACTTTGAATGTTGTAGTACGGTAGGTATTGACATGGTAATTTGTACAAAGGATTCTTTTGTGGCAATTGAATTAAAATAAATTTTTTAGTTATAACTTATAACCAAACAAGAAATATTCTATCATTCAATGTAGCTAATAACTTGATGCATCCTTGGCTATTTGTCAAAACAGTTCTGTGCAGAGTCAATAAGCAAAAAAGAAGAAGAAGTGCACAAGATGATTCAAGAATGCTTGGATCTACGTAAGAGGTATCTTTACAGGGAAGAAGTTGTTCCATGGATAGTAGCTAGAACAAACTCCATTGCATCAGAGAAGAAAAGTGACCCATTTCATTTTGAACCTGTTGAAGCATCGATTGTGAGTCATTCTCTTCTCATTCGTAATCTGTCTCTCACTCTTTGCAGCAGATAAAATCTGTCTGAATTTTGACTGTTCAAGTGAGTTCTTTTGTTCATAGCATTTGTTTAATTTTTTTTCTTTCTTTTAAATCTTTCATGCAGCACTGCTTTAGGATTGAAGATGGTGTTTTGGTTTTAATAGGAGAGAAAAAGAGAGGGGAAAAAAAGAAAAAGAAAGAAAGGGTATTTTGGTATTTTAAAAAAATTAAATATGGGTATTTTCGGCATTTTAAAGGTTTCATTAAAAGGAGCCAAGTGCTTCCCATGTTTTTGTCCTGCAGCACTTTTAAGAAGCACCTCTCAAGTGCTTCTTCCAAAACCACTCCAAGTGCTTTTGGATCTCACCCAAAGCGCTTTTGTAATTTTTGCCAAACACCATTTTTAAAAGACAGAAGTGCTTTTACCCATTTAAAAGCGTTTTTCGCTACTCCAAAAGCACTCCCAAACGAGCCCTTAATTTAGTTATATCAATCTACTGTGGTAAGATCTCATGTTCCTACTGAGCTGTGGTTGCTCATCCCTCGCCCTATTTAATTTTTCAGATGAATTAGTAGGCAAGAAAAGGACTAATAAACCAGTTGAAATTGAATTAGATGAGAGTGTTAGAGCTTATTTCTTAAATGTAATAGTGTGTAAGATTTTTGGAGATATTTTTATAAGAGAAGTTTATTTTTTTTTTTTTCCTTTTTGGTTTTTTTTTTTTTTTTTTTTTTTTTTTTTTTTTTCTCACTGGGCGCTGGGATTTCCACCAACCCCCGGGTCCAGGACTTGACAAAATACGTGTACAAAACATTATAAATACATATGTACATGTACAATATGACTATTGTATGTTTGCTTTTTAAAGAAAACGTGAGACGTTTATAGAACACGAATGTATTGTTGAAAAATATGTACCTACATATGTGTATATATGAATATATATGTAAAAGACTATAGCCGCTCGTCTATACTATTTATTAAATCAAATTTATAAAAAAAAAATTAAAAAAAAAAAACCGGTAACGCATCTCGCCTATATTATATGTATATATTTTTTTAAACTGAGTATAGCCGAGCGGCTATACTATTTTTTAATGTAAAAAAGTTACCCCACCCAACTGGAGCCACGTGTCAACACATGTCTTCTTAAAAAAAAAATTCGAAACTGAGTACAGCCGTGCTGCTATACTAATTTTTAATATAAAAAGGACCCCAACCATTTGGCGTCACGTCTCAAAACATGTCTTCCTTAAAGAAATTTCAAAACTGAGTCTAGCGGGGCGGCTATACTATTTTTTAATATAAAAAAGACCTTCATCCATTATGCCCCACGTGTCAACACATGTCTTTTTTAAGAAAATTTCAAAACTGAGTATAGCCGTTCGGCCATACTATTTTTTAATATAAAAAAGATTCTATCCATTAGGCACCATGTGTTAACACGTCTTTTTTAAAAAAAAATTCAAAACTGAGTATAGCCGGTCGACGATACTATTTTTAGATATAAAAAAGACTCCAGCCATTAGGCGACACGTGTCAACACATGTCTTTTTAAAAAAAAATCAAAATGAAGTATAGCCGTTCGGCTGTACTCCTTATTTTAAAATAAAAAAAATAAAGAAGAACCTCTTTTGTTTAAAGCCACGTGTCAAAAATCGGTATAGCCGCCCGGCTACACCTTTTTTTATAAAAAAATATTCTAGTATAGCCGGACGGCTATACTATTTAATTGAAAAATTAATAATAAACCTAGTTGCATACGTTTGTACCTTATGGATATTAATTTGCAACATATCCAAAGTTGATATTAATCTTCCTCTATATGATGTTTTAATATAATTTTTATACCATGTGTTATTCTTATTCAATAATGTGTGAGAATTATTTGTATAATACGTGAATTTGTCTGTGTTACTGAAAATTTTGTAAAAAGTACGTGAATTTTTTATTTAAATAATTAACTAATTGGTTTTAATTTAAATTTGTGTGTGTTACTGAAAATTTTGTAAAAAATACGTGTACAAAACATTATAAATACGTACGTACATGTACAATACGACTATTGTATGTTTGCTTTTTAAAGAAAACGTGAGACGTTTATAGAACACGAATGTATTGTTGAAAAATACGTACCTACATATGTGTATATATGAATACATATGTAAAAGACTATAGCCACTCGTCTATACTATTTATTAAATTCAATTTATTAAAAAAAAAAAATTTAAACCAGTAACGCCTCTCGCCTATACTATAATTTTTATTTTATTTTTTAAAAACTGAGTATAGCCGGTCGGCTATACTATTTTTAATATAAAAAAGGCCCCCCCCCCCCCCCCCTCCACCCACGTGGTCAACAACATGTCTTTTTAAAAAAAAATTCAAAACTAAGAATAGCTGATCGGCTATACTAATTTTTAATATAAAAAAGGACCCCAACCATTTGGCGCCATGTGTCAAAACCTGTCTTTCTTAAAAAAAATTTCAAAACTGAGTATAGCCGTTCGGCGATACTAAAAAAAAAAAAAAACAAACCCAGCCATTATGCCCCACATGTCAACACATGTCTTCTTAAAAAAAAATTGAAAACTGAGTATAGCCATTCGGCTAGACTATTTTTAATATAAAAAAGACTCCAGCCATTAGGCGCCACGTGTCAACACATGTCTCTTTTTAAAAAATTTCAAAACTGAGTATAGCCGTGCGGCTGTACGTTTTTAAAAAATAAAGAAGAACCTCTTTCGTTTAAAGCCACGTGTCAAAAATAAGTATAGCCGCCGGGCTATACCGTGTTTTTATAACAACAATTCTAGTATAGCCGCACAGCAATACTATTTAATTAAAAATTTAATAATAAATCTAGTTGCATTCGTTTGTACCTTATGGATATTAATTTTCAACATATCCAAAGTAGATATTAATCTTCTTCTATTTGATGTTTTAATATAATTTTTATACCATGTGTTATTCTTATTCAATAATGTGTGAGAATTATTTGTATAATACATGAATTTGTGTGTGTTACTGAAAATTTTGTGAAAAGTACGTAAATTTTTTTATTTAAATAATTAACTAATTGGTTTTAAGTTGAATCACATAGCCTAAGAGCCCCAGGGCCCAAGGCCTATCTTTTGATTAATTAAATGTATTAATTAGCCATTGACCCAATTAACTAGGCATTTAACCTTAAGCCATACCCACAAGTCACTCAATTGGGCCACTTGCATAGCCAATACAAACTGTTCTATTTCCAATAGTAAGTCTTATAAAGACTTCCAAGGAACTCTACATGGTGCTGACTGCAACATAATACGCACACAACCTCGTTGTATTTCTGCTGTGTCTGTTGCTGCTCGTATATCCTCTGAAAGGGAAGAGAATCTTGGTGAAACTGTTGGTTATCAAATCTGCCTGGAATCAAAACGTTCTGCTCGAAAAAACGTGAATTTTGCACCACTGGAGTATTACTTAGACAGTTGGTAATACAATTTTTCTGATATGTTTCCGACACCTGCATGATCCATGGTGTTATAATTTATTAACCTCTGACTCCCCCTATTTTATTTCACCTGTTTTTTCAAATACTAAATTTCCTCAATCTATTTCTAAGAAAAATTGTGCTGGCTACAAACATAGCAGAGAGAGTAGTATCACCATAGATGATGTTGTGTATGTCATAGACTGTGGAAGGGCAAAGGAAACCAGTTATGATGCTTTAAACAAGTTGGCTTGTCTATTACCATCATGGATTTCAAAGGCTTCAGCACATCAGTTATAATTTACTACCAGAAGTAACCGAATTCAAGGTTTTACCTGTATGTCAAACTTGTTGAGACTCAACCAAGGTGGATCCATTTATGGTTTGTCAAAATAAACATTTTATTAAATTTTATTGCTTTGGTGATGATTCCAGAGGCGACGGCGTGCTGGCCGTGTGCAGCCTGGAGTTTGTTACACACTATATTCAAAAATGATCCATGATGCAATGCTCCAATATCAGTTACCTGAAATTCTCCAAACACCTTTGCAAGTTTGCTGCTTGGAGCTGTTGGGTGTTTTTTGGCTAAGGCACTTCAGCCACCAGATCCTCTTGCTGTTCAAAATGCAATCGAACTTCTCAAAACCACTGGAGCTTTAGATAACATAGAGGAGCTTACTCCGCTTGGCATGTAAGTTATGCAAGTTTCTACTGAATATCAGCTATGGTAGTTGACTGAAAAATCTTACGTGACAGGTCGCCATCTTTGCACACTACCATTGGATCCAAACATTGGGAAGATGCTTCTAATGGGTTCTATCTTTCAATGCCTGAATCATGCCTTAACAATTGCAGCTGCCCTTGCTCATCGTGACCCTTTTGTCCTACCAATAAATAGGAAAGAGGATGCTGATGCTGCAAAAGGATACTCGGTTTTTTAATGTTTGAAAAAATAAAACCGTATAGCCGATCGGCTATACTATGTTTCTCCCTAAATTTTGAAAACAAAGTATAGCCTGGCGGTTTTACTCGTTTTAAAATGTTTATTTTCGTAAAAGAGTATAGCCGACCGGCGATACTGTTTTTACACGTAAGCGCTAGACCGGTGCTTTTTTAAAATTTACAAAATAGTATAGCCGTGCGGCTATACTCGGTTTTGTAATTTTTTTAAAAAATTGTACAGCCGACCGGCTATACTATGGTTTTTAGGAAAAAATAGATTGTTTATGAAATTGTTTAAGAAATAGTATAGCCGTGCGGCTATACATGGCATCTGAGCCTTTCTTGTATATATAAATAGTATGGGAGTTTCACTAAAACACCCAAAATGGGGGTTGAAATTATAAAAAAACCCAACACCCAAAACACTTTATAAATACACCCAAAACCCCATCATTACACACACTCAAAACCCATTTATAAACACACCCAAAAATATACAATTGTTGATTTTGAGGTTGATTTTGGGTGTGTTTCTATGTTTAAATAGTGCTTGGGTTTTTTTATAAATACATGTCTAGGATTGGGTTTATTTATAAATTTGTAAAATAGTATAGCCATGCGGCTATACTTTTAAAAATGAAAATTTAATCTGGGATATTTCGCTGGCATAGACCTTTGCCGACGAACATTCGTCGGGACAACTTTTTCTTTAAAAAAAAATTAAGTATAAAATTAGTTTCTTTTCTTTTGTTTTTTGGCCTACTTCTTTAATTTAATATATGTAATTAAGTAATATGTTAGTCTTTTTTTAATTACTTTAATTAGTAATTATATTTTAAACAACAAATAGAATAATGAAATTAAATATGGAGTTTGCTCCACTAGGATACAACTTTCTAAATCAAAGTCCTATCACTAGGGCTTTGATTTCTAGTGAAATTTGTGTGTTTATCTATGCGGACCCAATATTTATTTGGGGGTTTCACTAAAACACCCAAAATGGAGGTTGAAATTATAAAAAAACCCAACACCCAAAACACTTTATAAACACACCCAAAACACTTTATAAACACACCCAAAACCCATCATTACACACACTCAAAACCCATTATAAACACACCCAAAAAGCTGACTTTGGGATTGATTTTGGGTGTGTTTCTATGTTTAAATAGTGCTTGGGTTTTTTTATAAATACATGTCTAGGATTGGGTTTATTTATAAATTTGTATATTTAAAAATGATGTGAGCTAAATTTTTCTTAGGTACTTATAACTTATTGAAAACTCGACGGGTGAATTTTATTAATGACAACTTAAAAAAGAATCAGGGACATAATGAATCTTACCTCTCAAAATGCTAGTACATGTAGATAAAAACATACTTAAATAGTTTTTTTTTTATAGTAAAAACGATAGTCTAAAATAGTAAATAGTAAATAACTTTTTCTTACTATTTTAAATTAGCAGGCTTGGCAAGTGGGTGGGCTTTTCTTTTGGGTTTTTTACTTTACAAAAACTGGTGATATGGTATGGGCTGGTTTTGGGCCGTTGAAAATTCAAATTTGTTTTCTGGTAAAATGTTAAAAATAAAGTTGTCTGAGATTAATATCTGCAGCGTCGTATTTAAAGAAATGGGTAAAATGACGGTAGTGCGGAGGTGACGTAGAGGCAATTACGGATTATATAATTTAATTTTCATCCTTGATTCACTTTCTTCCTAAAAGTAAATAACCAAAAATCAAACCTGCTCTGCTGATCACCAAAAAATTGACTGATAAACAAGCTCGGCCTCCATTTCATTGCAAAAGGGGGAAAATGGAGAGAGCTAGGATTCTTAGATTGAGATTGGGAATTTGAGGTGGATCTGCAATTGAAAACTCCGTGATACGAATTTGGGAGCTGGTTGGATCGAATCAAATTCGATTTTCCAAAATCTAGAAAGTAAGGTCAGAATTTCAGCTGTTCCTCCCGAGAGACAAATCTGTTCTTGTAAATTTGGAATTTCGAATCTTTGGTATGAAAATTTGGAAAGATCGAAACAAAGAGAGGCAATTTTTAGGTGTTACGCTTTGGATGAACAGCTGTTGGTAGCTGGGTAACCTCATTTGAGCTCAATTCTGAATTGCAAGGTACCTGAAACCCACAAGAACACTCTTTTCGGCGATGCACTGAATTTGTAGCTTAATTTTCTAAGAATTCATCTTTCATTTGTATTATAATCCACAAATAAAATATGCATGCCCGGCATCGCAATCCTGGAAATGGGTACAGGTCCAATTCCATGGGTATGGGGATGGGCATGGCTCCCAATTCTCGGATCTCCCCAGAGACTTCTCTGAGGGGCCATAGCTTTTACAACTCCGAACACCGAAACTTCAATCGCGGTTTTGGCCGCCCCAAATCTTTCCAGCCACCTCCAGCTCCGCCGCCTCCGCCTCCAGCTCCGCCCCGCAAAGGCGACATCTTTATGGAAGCGGGGCGCCTTGCCGCTGAGTATTTGGTATCTCAGGGGCTGCTGCCTCCGAATGCGCTCCCCGCCAAATGGCAGAACACTAGTTTAAAGAAGCAAGTGGGGGAGTTTCAGGAGGCTGACCATTTGCAAATTGCATCAGAAGGCCGGACTTCGGCTCTTGCTCGGTTGGGGAATTCGGTTTCGGATGGAGGGTCAAGAAGGGGAAGGTTTGGTGTTGATGAATTTAGCAGCAACACAAGGAATCATTTCAAGGGAAAGAGAAGAAATGGGGCTGGATCATATCGGGGTGGTTATGGCTCGGATTGGGGACGAGACTATGGCAGGAGTGGTTCATTCTCGGATAGACATAGTAGGGCATCCTCTGATAGGGAGGGTGATGAAGGTTCTGTTTCTGGACACCATGAGGAGCAGAAGCTCAGTAAAGATGCTGGTAATAATGCATTGCAACAAAACTCCAGTCCAAGCGAGTTGAGGCCTAAGAGTGAGGATGCAGTGGATTCGGAATCTAAATTGAACAAGGGCCGATACCCAGATGATGATATGAGTTCAAAACCAAGTTCTTCTGGAGCTTGGAAAGATGGTCCAAATGAAACTGATGAAGTTGGTGAGGAACCTGCCAAGGTATCGGATAAAGAGATGAAGGATCAAGATTGTGCCAACAATGAGGAAACTGAGAAACAAAGTGTTTCGGAGAACTTACTGATGCAGCTTGGTGCTGTGGAAGCTGAGGGTGAGGGTGATTCCTCAGGCAAGAATGGGACTGACTTGCTAACACTCTGCAAATTTGCCAAGGTGCCCACTAGAATCCGCTCATCATTGACGCATAGGGGTCCAAAGGTTGATGATCCACTTCCAAATACCCAAGAGGGGACCACCTCTGACGCTGGAGTCGAACACAAAGAATGTCAAGCTTTAGTTAAAAACGGTTCCGTTGATGTTTCTTTAGGTACCACACTATTAGATAAAACTCATTATGATAATTGTCTCAACCCTGAAACTTCTAAAGCTCAGTCCAGTCATTCTGCTGAAAATTTGGTAGAATCAGGTCCTGAATATGGTAGTATTGAGCAGAACAGATATGCAAGGTCCCAGTCTTTGCCAGGTAGAGCTTTTGTAAATGTGCAAGAATCAACTCAGGGACCTGTAGGGCTTAGGAGTTCCAGCTTTGTAGTTAAGGAAAGGGGTGAAAAAAGGGTTTTGGAAGAACATGATCAGCTGGAGGAAGCCAAAAAACCAAGACAATGGCTTCCTTACATGGTTACAGAGGCAGATGATTGTTTCGAGCTTTCAAACTTGAGTGAAAAGAAAGTAAATTCACTGGAAGAAAACGGTTCTGGTGAGAAATTGATTATAGCTGTTGATCAGGAGAGCTCGGTGATGAATGAATCCCAATCCCAAAAAGATGGAGGTGAAGCCTGCATTGAGTTTGTGCAAGAAAAGAAGCCTTATCAGAATTCATTCAAGATCTGCGACCTTAATCTCATGCAGGTTTGTGATGCACATGAGAATCGTGATACTGATCCTATAATAGATTATCGGGCTAATTCTGGAATGAAGAAAAAAGTAGCTCCTGTTGATGTTGACTTATCAATGAATAACTCCAATGTGTCTGGTGAGAACAGTAGACACACTGTCGATGTTAAAGAGATTGAAGTCATTGATTTAGAAAATGACTCTATCCAAGAAAACAAGGCCTTCAATGATGCAGAAAGAAAGTAAGTTTATCCTACTAGCATTCAACTTCCTGAAATTGATATGATTTTCTATTTAGATAATAATATAGTAAAACCTTGCTTCCCATAAAAGAAAAAACGTTGTAGAATAGTCAGTTTGGCTCTCTCCATTTAGATTTAAGTGCTTTGTGAACTGCAGCTGATAGTTTTTTTCTTCGTTAGTCTGTTTTTTTTTTCCTAGTTTCTTTGACATGTATTTTTCTTTTTTATCTAATTTTGTTTCAATATACAGGCCACAGACTGAATTTACTCCTCTGGAGGGCTTTCCTAACCATGCACAGAATACTAGTGATATCCCTGATGTTCAAGATGGTTATGGACTTATGATCTCGGAATTGCTGGGAAACGATTTCCCAAATTGTTCTTCAGTACCAGAGGATCTTAATTCAATGCATAACGAAATTGGCCTTCATAATGGAGAGGTACTGTCATTAATTCAATGCATAATGCCTGGTGGTTATTTGATCTGAAATGCATATAAATGGATTACTTGAATTTATACATCTATATGCATCATAATTGTTCCCATTTGGCTTCTTTTTTTTTTTTGGACGAAATCCCATTTGGCTTATGTCTTGTGATGGAAATGCATTGCTATAAGCATATGTCTCACACATTAAACAACTGATGTTTCTCCTTTTATTTGGCTGATTGTTTCAGGAGACTCTTGCCGATGATGATGCAATATATATGGCTCTTGGAGAAATACCATTAAGTATGCCACATTTTTAATACACTGGTTTGTTTTCTAATGAATCTCAAATGTCAAGTTCTGTCTGAGTGATGTTTGGATTATTGGTGTGGGTGTGTGTGTTAGAACATTTATATGGTAGTGTGCTTTTAGCTATTACCAGCAAGTTAGTGCACAATTTTCCATATATTTAATCAATTTTGACAGCTTTTGGTCATCCTAGAATGGATGGAAGCAAAGGAAATGCTCAATAAGTAACCTAAGCTGTTCCTTTCAACTCGTTATATGTGTTTGAATATGTTGCACCGGACATGAATATGAGATGGGAATTGTAAATTAGTGATACTAGATGTAACTTGAACAAGTTTTGCTCCAAAAGAACCTAAATTAAAATGAGAAAAACTAGAATGAGTTGCTTGAGGTAACTAATAGTCTGTAATATATGTTTGCTTTTTTACTCTTTCCTTCAGTTTTGCAACCTTCTGGACGAACACAGAATCTGATTGATTAAAGCACGAAGCTTCTTGTCATAGGAAAACAATTTTGTCTACCATTATTTATCTGTAGATTTTCCCAAATCTGATAGGGGTGCAGGTTTAACAATTAAAGCTTGGTAAAGTTGTTTCAGTTCCATTTAAAATTCGTTGAAGAGACTCAAAAATATTACCCATGAGTTAGTTACATAAAACACATATAGATATTTAAATGTTAGGTTGCTAGTAGTAATTTAAAGGAAAATGGCTACTAGGTTTTTATCATTATAGTATAGCAACCATGTAGTAGAGTTCGAAATGAGGAAGCTATTACGCAAAATGACTGAAAGGTAGGGGTTATTGATTAGTGTGAATACAACCTTTTTTGTCGGAGAAAAGTCCTGGGTTGCAGCAAATTTTGCAACAAGGATCTGAAGAAGTACTGATTTATGGGTTTTCGCTATCTTAAAAAATTAGGAAGCATAATTTTTGCAATTTGTTCTGTGATGCATTTACCTTTAATGGTATTTTTGGCTCTTCAACTTTATACTATTTCTCCAATCCTTTATTTTGCTTGTCTAACAATACTTCTTAAATTACTTATGCAGCCTTTTTGAGGCCCTGGGAGCAGCCAACCCCGCAGGAGTATGAGAAGCCCTTTTGATCCAGCCAATCATAAAATTTCTCAGATGTATAATTCGGTATGCTTAGTGTTGGTCATTGTGGGTTCTTTTGCCCTATCACTAGCTCTATTAAGTGGCAACCTTGCTTTGATTGATTTTTTTTTCTTTTTTTCACTTATTAAGGGTGCAAGTAAATCTCTTCCTCTTGTAGGATGTTTAAGGATGTTGAATGATTTTAATTCTCTGTTACACCTTGTTCTTACATGAAACATGTTAATCATGTTGATTGGCAGTAGTGGTTGCCATCTGTTACTTGTCTGTTTTCGGTTCCTCAGTGACTTAACACATAGATCTTACACTTTGTTCATATTGATTGGCAGAAATGGTTGAACTCATTTGGTACCTTCTTTCCTCGCTGACTTAACATATACAAATGATGCTAAGGTTAGGTGTTACACACAGAGAGTAATATTACATAGTAAATATTGAAGACAGATAATCCATGACATTGTGGTGATTGGAAGTCCGTTATATGACTACTGGGATCTTAACTGTTTCAACTCCCCGCATATTAGGGTTTTAGCCCAGATAAACTAGTTTGTTTGCAAATCTTCATATTTTTCCTTTGTTCGAATGGATTCATTGTCAAGATAATTTGTAAAAGGTTTGCACGACTTGTTTTGAGTTGTGATGGGAGAGTCTATTGTTGCATTGGTGTTTGATAACCCTATAAGAAAAAGTGTTCCTTGAACTTTCATTTCCTCTAGTTCTTTCAAGAACCCAAATTTCATTGTGATTTCTAGAGAAGCTACAAGCCTGCTCAACTGAACATGCTGTCCTTGAGTGAACAGATTCCACAACTTCTTTGGAGAATTATCTCATTCTGTCATCTTGATATGTAGCACATAGAGAGATAGAGACTACATCATGCCTTTATCTTATTTCTTACATTTCTTTTGGTTTTCAATTTGAAAATTTTGCTTTTTCAATAAAGAATTAGCCTTTGATTATAATAAAATTGATATTGCTTGAGAATGGATGAGAACTGCTATGATGAATAACTGATATTGCTTCCTCAAGTTCACATGCCTGAAAGTCCCTAGAAAGAGAGTTTATGAAATTCACATTTAAGGTTGCTGTTGGAGCTCAAAAATTTTCGTCCAGTCTGAAAAATTATATTCAATATTATTTTGGTTAGTCGGCTTGGACAAAAAATAATTAGAAAGATCCATCATTTGGCATACATAATAACTTTTCATGGCACTCTTTTCTCAGCTTCCATATCCTTGTAGTTGGTGTTTGATCCTTGGAGAAGGAGATTGGTTTCCTTCTTCCCAAACCAGCAACACGCATGGCATTGGCATTTGCATCGCAGTTTTCATTAGATAAAAGCAGAGTTGGAAAAACGTACAAAATATCTCTCATTATTTTTGTTGGTGCATGCGGTTTGTCCAATAATTCCATATTATTCAACCCAAAAATGAAAAACCAAATTGAAACTTGGACATTCCTTGGTATTGGACTTATAAGATATAAAATAAAGGAAAATAATTCCCTTTCTTCCGTGTAAGTAGGAGCTTTTACATTTCTGTCAATTGTTGTACTTTTGATAAATTATTTTTGCACATATATCAAACTGTGATTTCCGGAGAATGATGAATACAATTAATGATTATCTAACACAAGTTTCCTTTGTTGAACTGATATTTGTTTTTTCCTTTCTAGAATTGTAGATATTTTCATTTCTAATAGGCATGCAAACAAACAAAAAAACTGAAAATTCATTAAATAATAAGATAAAGTAAATTATGGTGTGGACAGCCATCATGTTGAAGGACATGAAATTCTGTTTGAGAGTCAAAATTTTGTACGGATGTATGGTACACAGTACTTGCTTCCGCAATTCACTGTTATGATCAGATGAGATGGTATGGTATGGTAGTAGAGCTATGGCTTCATTCATGCATGATGACGTAAAAGATTATTATATAACTGTCAAAGCGTGTGTACAGTAGTAATAAATTTAGATCTCCAATTTGAATAAAGGCAGCCACTAAATTGAGAAAAAAAACTTGTCCACATCGGTCTTTATGAAAACTGTGTTTCACGCTTGGTATATCTTGTGAGAGCGTTACATGGGTCATATGTGAAACGCAAGTATGGGCAAGTTTTCTCCTCCAAACGGGGGTGGTGTGCTCGAAATTCTTCGGTCCGGCAGATTGACCGGCGTCAAGGAACCTCTGCATTAGGGTTAGAGCAACTTGGCTTTGTGTAACATATTGTAGTAAATTAAGTTGTAAATTTGGAGAAGGATAAGATCATCTATATATAGAAGAGGACATAATTGCAGGTCCTTGTCAAGTTTCCAATGGCAGGCGTGGCTTGAACTATTTCTTGTCATGGAGGGGAAAAAAAACTTGCATCATTACGTTAAAAGACCACTTTTGATAATGACTTAATATTCTTCATTGTGTTTGTGTTTCCCACAATTTCCTCCACTACTTCAAGGGGGGAAATAAATAAATAAATAATAAATAATTATCTCTCCTTTTGATTAATTATTAGTTTGCTGACTTTGATTTTTGTTATTTTTAAGCTTTTCCACATGGACCATTTCACTCTCATTTCAAAAGCAGAGAAATAGAAGCTACCTTATACGACGCCGTTTGTACTTGCTGGCCCATGTCATGTGGGAGCTGGATCGGATGCGAGAAGGGGGTCCGAGTCGTCCGACAGCCAGACAACGTTAAACAAAGTACACGTGGCCTATTTTGTAACGTCAAAAAATATAATCATACCCCGATGTGTTGCGGGACCCACTTGATTGGAATTAACACCGGACATCTAAACCGTTCCATCGCTTTCCATTTTCATTCTAATTTTCTTGATTTTACTGCCTAATCACCTTTTCTCTTCTAATCAATTTCAATTTACTCCAGTGAAACAGTAAATATGTAAAACTCTCTCCAATGGGTAACTAGAATTGTTAATCTTCATACCCACCAAATTGTAAGAAAGCTTCCTTTTTTTTTTTTTGGCTCACCACTCATCATTTGTAGTGATGTTAATTCTCGTTAGATGAGTATGATTGAATCTACTTTCTGTACGAATTTAAAAGTTAAACTTATTCAATAACAATTCACCTGGTGGTTATGCTCATCACCATTTAAAAATAGTGATAGTAAAGTTGTTCTCCATGGATAATACTTTATTATATTAGTAACGCTCACTCGCTATTTGTAACTATTTATCTCGTCTAATCGTCTAACATGCTATATTATTAGATTGTACATCAAAAACTAACAAGTTAAAAGGTCATCATATTTAAACACCTATACTACTCCTTACACAACATATTACTCAATAAATTAATGATGCAAAAAAAAAAAAAAAAAAAAAAAAAAAAAAAAAAAAAAAAAGGATGTGTCTAGGCAGGCCTATTATTTGAAATAGGTGTGTTATGTTTTTCTTGTAACGCTACAGGCTTATATACAATGGAGCACCTTTGCCGACATCAACCCAAAATGAGATTATGGGGCCGCCTAACCTAGCTGTGATACATTGGCAGAGAAAATATAAACCAAATTTGGTTATTGCCGACAACAAATGCCGACCTAGCTTAGCTCAAACATATACCATATACATGTAACAAATGTACCGAGTTTTTAGGTACAAAAATATGATAGTGCCTTCAATTATATACGACAACAAATCTACAGTGACTCAGTGTGAAAAAATTTAAAGGCCTTTTACAACTTTTAACATTCACTGTCAACCTAGATTTGAGAAATTTCTATTTTTTTTGGTCAAAACCTAGATTTGAGAATTGAACATGGGTTTTAAGGTTTTGTCCAATCTTGAACAGAGTATGTTCAAGCCAAGAGCCAATCAAAGATGAATTGAAATTTTTGCCCAACCCCGTGAGTTTTCGAGAGTGAGAAAGGGAGACTTTTGATCTTGCTATGTTCAAGGATTATGAAAGTTATTAAGATGTCAGAGAGACACATCAATGACCCGTTACTAATATTGTTTTAATATTAACGCCAATATAATTGGGCATGTGTAATGTCTCGATTCTATTAGTCGTGAAATTATTTATTATAGCCGTCATAAAAAGATAACCACTTATTATATGTTGTATTTGATAAGTTTCTGACGTAAGACTTTATATATTGTTTGTCAAAAGAAAAGAATTTTAGTGAGGATGTGTAGAAAAAGTTTAATAGAACCTTTTTTTTCTTTTGAGTTAAAATTAGAAGAAAAGAGCAAACCCCTTACAAAGAAAATGCTTTCACCATCTGACCTAATATTTGGCCCAACCTTAAAAACCACATAGCTAGACTTTATGAACAACTCACCGAATGGATCTACTCAGAAAAGCTTGCCTCTTACCCCTTATTACAAATATCACTATGGATTATTGTCTAATATAATTGTCCTTTTCCACCAATTGCTTTCCCTATTGAGAAAAAGCCTTCCAGCAGTTGGGTAGCAGGAGCTAGCTAGCTAGCCATAGCTGTATGGATGGTCTAATTATCTGTTTTCAAGCCAGCAAGATTACTCTATTTTCACAAAGTCCGGGTGAAATCAATCACCGAGTATTGAAAATAACGTAATAATTAAATGAATTGGTCTTTAATTTTGGTCCTAGTTGCAATATCTTGGCAATCTTCCACCTAACTTGATGCAAATGGTCGATTTTCCTGTGTTCATATGAATCTGAAATGGTTCTTGTTCTTGACTCTAAGGAAGCCATGATGCCAGGTTCCATCCCCTCTCTCACTGGAAGGAAAACGACCACTGTCTCTTCAAATCCATCTCTAACCATGTCACTTTCGTCAATCGTCTTCTCTTCTCAATAACGGCACGAAACTAACTCACATTTAAAAGCAATGTGACCATATCCTCGGCATTCATAACACTTTACAACTTCCTTGAAACTTCAAGATTTCTGGTATTTCATCTTTTTTCAAAGTTTATACCTCCAAAGTTCCTTTAGACCTAAGCTTTCGTCTAAAACTGTTTAACAAAGAAAAATAAC